ACAAACAACAATACACTTAATATGGACTAGAGAGCCTATATTACCCTAAAAAAATGTAGTGCAGTCGCTGTAGTTGCTCCTCACTTAACTAGAAGTTTCAGATTCGATCCCTGGATATGAAAAAATCCTTGGTAAGAAGCACTACCCCACGAATGAGGCCCTACCTGATACTGTAACGACCTGATTCCGTCGTTATAGAAAAGCCAATGGGGAAAAAATTGGGGCCAGAAAACTTTTGAGTAGTAACTTTGGATTTTCCAACCTAGTTCAAATTTGGACGAAATCAGTGTCGTTAAGGTGTAGGAAAATCTGGTAGCAATCGGTTGATTTATTTATGATTTTGATTACATGAGTGGTTAGATAAGTCGTTAAGATCTGTACAACTTTACGAAATTGAATTCGGGTGAGTAGAACTCCCGGAATCGATCTTAGCGTGGACGGTATTTTTTGAGTGTCATTGGTTAAAAGTGTGTTGTGAAATGGGGGTCTTGGAATTATTAAAATAGCTTACTGGTTCCGTGCAAGCCGCTGGGGTGGAATTTCTACTGCCAGGGCAGGGACGCTGTAGCGGGGTGAGGACCGCTGTGGCGGGTCCGACGCAACTTAAGGTCGTAAATAAACCCCAAAACGTCTTTATTCTGTACTTTTTGATTTTTAGAGCTAAGAAACAAACCCCAGGCGATTCTTGACAGTTTTCCACCATTCTTGAGGCTAAAGGTAAGGTTTTAACTCCCCGAACCCATATTTCGATCCGTAGAACGTAATCTAATGAGTAATTATCGATGGGGGAGGATTTTGATCTGGAAATTATGGTGGAAAAAACCTTAATCTGGGTATTAGGATCTTGGGTTTGGTCTAGGGTTATTGAGTTTGTTATAATCCGGATAATTAGACCTTTGATTGTTGATCCTTGCGTATATTAATTGTTTGTAAACTTAGAACAAGCGGAAGGAATCCGGAAAGGGAAAATTCAAGTGCCTTAGGGGATTCAAGCTTGGATTCGAGGTAGGTGATGGTTGTGATTTCATGTTGGTGTGATATATGTTTGTAATTGCTCATTATAATGCATGTATGTATGCGAATGTTGCATTATTGATCACCCTAATCGTAAATGAGGATAATTGAATAATTGTATGCCATGGATCACCTCTTGTTGTATGATTGTGAGAATATACATTGTGATTGTGGTTTGTTGAATGGATCGGTTGCCACGTTCTGGCATAAATATGGGGCCGGTTGCCACGTTCTGGTATAAACATTGGATCGAATACTACGTTTCGATATGCTAACAGTTTGGGTGTGGGCTCCATGAAAGGACCATTGGATTGGGTTCCGTGAGAGGACCATTGAATTGTGTTGTGTATCTACTTGTGATGATTACGTTCATATCTAATGATGATTGATAGTGGAAGACTGTATGTTGCTCTAAATTGATAACTAATATGTTTTATTGAGAACGTGTAATGCTACATTGATCCTGAAAAGATGACTAATATTGTATATGTTCGATATATGCCTGTTTTATAATATTGTGGTTACTTGCATGTGTTTCACTTATTGGGATAGCCGCGTGATCCTACCAGTACACTGTGGTTGTGTACTGATACTGCACTTGCTTGTTCTTTGTTGAGTACAGGGCATCTTCAGGCGGCTATTGATAGACCTCAGCTAAGTGACTATTGATCGTGACCGGATTCAAGGGTGAGCCAGTTCTTTCAGGCTAAGGCTGGGCACCGGACCGGAATGGGACCACCGGACCGGAACGAACCGGTACCGGACCGGAACGGGACGGTTTGACCGGGTTGTTGACCGGTACCGGGATGAACCGGACCGGAACTACCGGGATGGAGGCTCAGTTCCGTCCCGTCCCACTATATACCGGGATAGAACCGGGACGGACCGAAATGGACCGGAACGGAACGGGATGGGATAAACGGGACGACACATATAGCTATTTCAAAAAATAATTATTATTTTTGAGTTATTTTGAATTACGAAAATACGAATGTTTTTTTTATTTTTCTAAGTTATATTCGTTTATAGTAATTAAGTTTTAAAACTTATAATAATTTTACTTAAGTTTATTTTAAATATATTTTTTTTAATTTTTACGTATATAAGTTTGTAAGTTAAGTTTAATAAAGTTTTTTTTTTTAGTTTTTGAGCTTATGTATTATGTTATAAGTTTTAAAGATTTGAATCTTTTGAAGTTTATAAGTTATTAAGTTATACTTATAACTTGTAAGTTAAATAACTTAAGTTTGTAATTTTTAAAAAATTAAATAAACAAAAAAGAAATGCTAATAAAAGTAAATAATGAAAAAAATATTATTTTTTATTTTAATTAAAAATGATTTACCGGGACCGGACCGGAACGGAACCGGAATGAACCGGGATGAACCGGTACCGGTATACCGGTACCAAATCATGGTACCGTTCCGTTCCGTGTACCGGTTCAACGTATCCCATCCCGTCCCGAATACTACCGGACCGGAACGAACCGGAATGGTACCGGAACGGACCGGAATGGTACCGGTACAACCCGTTCCGGTGCCCAGCCTTATAATTCAGGCTGCCATAGATCTTTCTTGTTTAAGTCCACTCTTTTCAGACTCAGACTATTTGTTTAAGGTGTTATTTAGTTTCGGGTTGTACCCCTTGTTCTTAGACTGATCGTTAGTAGAGTTTTGGTACAATGACTTTCAGGTTCTAGTGGTTGTTCTTCTGCATTGGTTTGGTTAGTTGTTTGTTAAAACCTTGGAGTTTATGGGGACTCCATTTTTATAGTCATTTAAACTTGCTTCCGTATCTTTAAATGCTTTAGTTTTCATAAAATCTGTTTGTTTGGGTTGTAGTAATGGTTCTCCCACCGGAGGGTTTGTGTGGGTGTCAATCACGACGGTTTGGGTCGCGACAGATACAAATCCAAATTAATCAAACTCTAATACAGATATCAAACATCAAATAAAATATATATAAATATATACATTTCAATTCTCAAGCAAAGATATGCAGAAGGAGCAGACATAGAGGCAAGAAAAACTATACTGGGAATATAATATTTAAGAGATAATCAATCGTGAATCGTGATATTCATCATTAAGGCCTAATTAAATATTGATTTTTATAAAGAAAAAAAATAGTGAAGATGTTGGAATAAATAGAATCTACATAGAATAAAAACAATTAATTTTGAGGAAAATCAGGCATATAATATAGTCAAATGGATTTGTTGAATTAGAACATTTAGAAGACCAGATACATTGCAATCTTCATCTTTTTCCCTCTTAATTTATATAATTAAATATAGTCAAATCTATTTATAATGACGTTATTTGTCCGATTCTTTCTTAACTATTATAACAAAATAACACTATAAAGAACATACAACATAAAATCAGCTTCAAACAAAACTCGTCTATGTTATAGTGAAATATTATTATAGTGAATAACTGATATAAGAACGTCTAATTATAAATTGTAATCATAAGTCACGAAAGATCTTCCTTTTTTTTGTTTAAACAATTGTGGTCGGTTTTTGTTATTTTCTATAACACATTGGACTGTGTGGAAAACTATATATCATATTTTGTTAATTGTAATATTTTATTAGCTATTAATCAATACCAAATCTCCTAATTATACGGGTATTATCTGTATGAGATTATTTTCTTTGGCATTTTATCTACTAGACTCTTGATTTTGTCCATTGAAAAGATCAATGGAGATTTTGCTCTAAAGATACGATTTTACAAATTATTTGAGCAAAAAACGAAATCAAAGATAAGATTCTCATTTATTAATTTGTTTATCATGGTCTAATATATTTTGGAACAAGGTGAGAGAGGAAAAATTATAATTTTATGAGAGTAAAACGATATACACATTTTAAAGGAAATCTTTGTTGGAGAATACAAATCAAATCATATGAAATAATTTTGATTCGAGGACAATCAAATAATAACAAATTTCTATGTAATTGGAGAGATAAAAAACCGAATACATTTTTATTTGTTCAGTATGCTAAAAATGGTCTAATTTTTATTGTTTAGTTTGAAAAATTAAGACTTTAAATAATGGGCGTTTTGAAAGAAAACCAACAGAAAATAAATAACGAATGACTTTAAGGCATGAAGAATCGACTGGTTTTAAAGAGTTATTATTCATATACTAATATTTGGAAAAATACAAAAAATTCTCTTCAACATACAACAAAATTAAAAATATATTTGCAGTATCTTCTAGGACAAATCACTCCACATATATATTACTTTCTTTTTTTTAATAAATGTTATAGCCCGTAATTTTTTAATGTTAAAGCTTTGAAACATAAAAAATAATGTTATAACTAGTACTCCCTCTGTCCCAATTTATATGACTCACTTTCCTTTTTAATCAGTCCCAAAAAGAAAGACACATATTTATATAAAGTAACAATCTATCTATAAAATATCTATTTTACCCTTAATGAAATGATTTACAGTCACACAAATTTCTATAATTCATTTTGGACCACAAGTTTTAAAAGTCTTCCTTTCTTTCTTAAACTCCGTGCCGAGTCAAAGTACCTCATATAAAATGGGACGGAGGGAGTAATAATTAGTCATATATATATATGTCAATTATAAAATTTTCACCGGTCAAAAGAGTGTTCACGGATCGATTATCGATGAGAACCTAAACCAAATCAATTTAATCGGGTTTTAAACTATTAAAACCAAACCAATATACTTAGTGAAAGGATGTGGGGAGGATTGAGGGCACACATATCTAGTTAAACATTGAAGCAGACTTCACTTGATCAGCAAGATTCACAGATCAAATTTGACAAAAATGAATAAAACCAACAACATATAATGAAGTTTATGCAGAGTAAATTAGCTTCCCATTTACAAAGCATGCATATATATTCAAACCCTAAATAAATGTTTCCTTTACTATTAGCCCTCTCATTTTCTATCAGTTAAAATCTTTGTTTCTAAACATTCTTGCATCCTCACTGTATTCTGGAAACTATGCACAATTTTATCAGAGGTTAAAACAACCAGAAAAATTCAGATAAAGCGAAGAAGATCAATACACAATCCCGATCAGCATGGTTAATCGTACAAACCCTCGTGCTCCCAAATATCAGCAAGAAAGTCGACCATGTCCTATAAAGAACAGCCAAAAAATGTTAATTCGAGCCTTTGCTTCAAATGGAAGTGAATAAAAGTTCCGAGAAGTGACAAGTGACTCACCGAGAGAGGAATTGGCTGAGGGAATCGTTTGTTAGTCCCAAATAAGCTATCATACGAAACATTCCAACTAAAGTGAGACAGAACAAGCACAATTAGCCAAGAAATGTAGACAAGTGTAAGAGCAAAACAAACTCAGAAATTTTTTAGTGTATGGAAAAGCGTGGCAGCCATATTCAACGATGTTTAAACAAAGCTTTATTAAGCACTAGGTGTTTTCTTCTTATCTATCCAAAACTCGGTGGACAAAGTTACCCGATACCTATGTTGGATGTCGGAGCTAGCAGGCACGAGTGTACCTTATAGTTATGGTTTTGACAAAGCCCAGTAACTTTGGCTCAAACATGTATCTGTATTTTTAAAAAATCACTTCAGATGTATAATAATCATTATAGAATCCAATAAACAAACAAGATTGTGGTTTAGAACCCATAACTAAAAAAATTGGCTCCACCTCCAATAGCGGGTACCCCGTGAATTAGTCTAGGGTGCGTGCAAGCTGACCGCACATCACAGTAATAAAGAAAAAGTGAAAGCTTATCTCTGAGTCTTCTAGTAGCATAATACCACTTAAAGGGAAGTCCTAAAATTTGATTCCATGAGATTTATAACTGTGGTATTGAAATGCTTCATCAGAAACATGAACATAAGCAAGGTTCTTACTTTAACATCGGTTCTTCAACGACTCTTCGGTTCTCTGGATTTTTACTTGCTAGCCACTGAAACCTGGTCTGGTTCCAAAGAAGATAGCCTGAAATCAGCAGACAGACAAGATAACAAACGGAAGTTAAATAGCCCTTATTCATGCATGACCCACTTCACAACTAGGTATGACTTATGTTTTTTAATGGAAGTTGTGCAATGAAGGTGGAAAACGGACTCGAATGTCTAGCCACAGAAGTGACTAGTTTTCTAACAAATAAAAAAGCCAAGTCATCAGTGCAATAAACTTACCGTGATTTATGAATTCATTGTTGTTGCTAGCATTGCCAGTGCCGCTCTGTTGACTGAGGCTCTGATTTGATATACTGATGGAAGACATGCTTCTATGAGATTGAACAGTACTAACCTCCAGATCGCATGTACTGGTGCTCCAAAAATCATCCGACATACTCGGTTTTCTCACCAACTTTCCTTGTATTCGTAGTCCTTTAGATGGTTCATCCACAGCAATAACTGGTTGAGATTTTGCACAGCAACCAAAGCAACCTCTGCTCTGTTCAAATTCAGGTTTATTTGCATATACAACACATGGTAACAAGATGTAAACTGTTTTGACGCCACAATAAGAATCAATAACTTATTCGAAAGAACAGAGCTCTTGAATCATTAAACAAGCACACGGAGTCTCAGATTAACAATATATACATGCAAGCTGCAAAACAAGAAAAGGCAATGGGTAGGGGAACACTGTACTCAAGATGAAATGTCAGCCTGAATTAAATTCCATATAGTTACCAGTAAAGTAAAAGTGCAAAAGAGCGTGGCAAATTATCTCACAGTAGGATATTTGTCCTTTCCTTGGGTAGGAGGAGAGGTGCAAAATAACCATCTGGTAGATTCAGTATTATTAGAACAAGTGACATAAAAATCCTAGTGCGCTAGAGCACTCAACGCTGGATTGATAACTTCACAAAATGACAGAACAGGATATAAGCGTTTGTACCTGCAGTCTCGTTGCATGTCCCCTATACAACTCACCAGCTCCTTTCTTAGCCCCAAAGTAAGGGTAGGAAATGAGAAGAGCAGAATTTCCACAGAATACGTTTTCTATGTTGTCCATTGGTAACTCCATATTGACAACAATCGACATCCTAATTATAAGAGAGAGAATCTAAGTATCCAACTCATTACCTAATACTACAAGTGGAGAAGGGAGTAGCTCAACACCTCATAGTTTTTTTCTTTTTTGAAACTGGTAACTTACCTTGTAGGCGAGGGTCTATAGTAAACAACCTCTCTACCTCTTAGGTAGGGGTAAGCCATGTGGTCACTCTACCCTCCCGAGACCGCACTTGGTAGGAATACACTGGGTATATTGGTTGTGGTTATTGTCTGTAATTTACCATGAAAAAACCTTTTAAAACCACGACTCAATCAATGTGGGACAGGTTCTCTAAAACAGTTCCACACGTATAATCTGGTTCTAGGATTTGAAGACTTCTCTATTCTACTTCCTTTCTCTTCCTTCTTTTGTTTATTCATTTCCTCACTTTTTTTTACTTTTTCTTTATTTGGAGTAGAGAGAGAAGGCTCAATAGACTAAGGAGTGTGCCTACAAATGGCTCGACAAAATGAACATAGAGAGGCACAGGTTGGTAGAACAGATAGAGAGAAGACGCTAGTGAAAACTACCCTGCCTAAGTTTAATTCTGAAACCATTTGGAAGAATTTGAGTCAATGAACTGGTTGAGAACCTTGAGGTCTGAGGTTCAAAACTCAGTGAAGACAAAAAACACTAGGTGATTCTTTCCATCTATCTTAGCCTTGGTGGACAGAGTTACCTAGTACATGTTGCTGGTGGGAGGTGGCAGGTATTCCGTGGAATTAGTTGAGGTGCGTGAAAGCCGACGCAGCACGGTCATCAAAAAGAAAAATCCCAAAATCTTAAGAGCCAAAGCAGTGGGACATATCCTTACAGACATTTTTTGAAACCCTTAGACAACAAATATAAGACACATTCTTGATACTAATGATCAATAACGATTCTGCTCATTGTGACATCAACAACGACCTTTTTGACAAAAATAGCTCACAGAAATAATATTCAAGATACATAACATGAATAAAAAAAGAGCATTAAGCGAGAACAAAAAGAGAAACAAGAACACAATTTAACGTGAAAACCCCTTTCATCAAGGGAAAAAACCATGGCCTGAAATGCCAAAAATAATATCAAAATAGTAAAATGCTCAAAAGACCACTACACACTCAAAAGAAACAACCCTCTTTTGATTTATTCACCTTACTATAATACTGCTCACACTCTAATTTTCCTCACAAACGCTTTTCTTCTTCCTGTGAATTGTCCTCCATTCTACTCTTGCTTCAATGCTCTATATTTCTAGAGCTGGAATGAGAAAATTGCCCCTCTATTTACAACAATAGAAGCCGAAGACTCCGAATACAGAAATAGAGAGAAGCAAGATTGTTGGCAAAAGGGAATTTTAAGTTGAAAGATTTTATTTTTTTTAATTACTACAGCTTTTACGTATGAGTAGATAAACAAATGGCTTGAGTCATGCTAGGAACTGTCCGACACACTAATATTCGAATTCCTTTTTGACAAGTGGCTTCATCAACCTCCATTAAAAAAAAAGTGGCGTCATCAAGCAAGTGACCTCTTACATGAAAAGTTTTGGACAACTGTCTAGACATTGTCATGACGAAAACGTTTTTTACTTATCCTACAAATACGACGATCATAAGAATAACAAGCCTCCTACAACTAATTCAATTCTCTTCCGGTATTCATTCTCTAATCTCTACAACTTAATCTTAACTGTTGTTCCTCTTATTCTCATTTTCTAACTAGCTAGTTTGTTGTTTAAATTTTGTTGTTCCTTCTCCCCTATAGAGAAAGATTTTTATTCCTAGGAAAATTATCACATTGCTGAAATAATTTATTAGGACAGTGCCTAGAATGGTTCAAGCCATTTGTATATGTGCTCATAGATAAATATTGTAGTAATATTTTGGCTAAAGTCATAACCGGCCCTCGACACTTGTCCGCATTTTTCACATTGACACCTTAATGGAGCATTGTTCTCTTATAAGACACTCCAACCTTAAAATTTGTACCTATTAAACATGAATGACAACCATCCCAAGAAATATAGTGTATAACTCACATCCAAACTTTGTAAAAGAAAGACATGAAAAAAAGAATGACATGTGGGAATGGGCCCAAAATAATTATAAAAATGAAATATCAATTGAAAAATAAGAAAAATAGTTCTGAACCCCTTATAATCCAAAAAAATAATCAACAAAAAAAGAAAAAGGGAAACTCATTCTCTGCACCTCACATCCACTCACCCTACCCTTTCCACTTTCATCTTCTTCCCCTCGTCTCTAGTTGTCACACCACCCCTTCCGGCCAAGCTCACCGTTTTCTTTCCTTCTTCTAATAATATGTTCAGATTTAGTTAATTAAAAAGTGAAATAAACAATGAAGCACAGTATATAGCTTAACAGAATGGTTGAGATGTTTATGGAAGATAAACAGTGCCAATGAACTTATTCAAATATCATAAAGAAGAGAAAGAGAGGGGATCCAGATTATGTCATTTAAAATTAATTCTATCTAATACTCTGAAATAGTTTTAACAGAATGATTGTTGAATGGTGGTGTTTGCTTGGAAATGGATTGATGGATGTTGGCCTACATTTTTAACCAAGATGACCCAAGAATATTCTTTCTTTCTTCAGATTCAAGTGCCAGAAAAATTGTTTTCCCTGAATGCCAAATCAGATGAATGAAAATGGTAAACTTGTGGCGCTGGAGTGGCGGCAAAGTGTTAAACAAGAAGGGAAGTAAGATTATTTGGTTATAGTCATGCGTAAAAGATGTCAATTTTTTCAAACAAATCATTATTTGTGATGCATTTACGCACCCCAGGAAAGTGAGGAACACTTATTTTGTCAAGTCACCTTTTGTGTTTAATAGGTACAGTTTTTGGGTAATTTAGATGTTCAATAGGTGCTAGTTTTTGTTAAGGTGTCAAAGTGAAAAATGCGGACGTGTTCAAGAAGCCGCATATGACTTCAAATATTTTTTTCCTTTCAATATACATATTTATTTTCCTTTTCCATTATATTTGCCAACAATTCCTCTATCAGAAAGGAGGAACAACAAAATTCAAATAACAAAGTAGCATTCTACCTGAAAGAGAATTGAATTAGTTGCGGGAGGCTTGTTAGTTTCTGATTGCAAATGAGCAATGTGAAAATGCTTTAATTCATGACAAGTGTCTAGTCACTTGTCTAAAACTTTTCATGCAAGAGGTTACTTGTATGAACAATTGCTTAAAAATTCTCCCCCGCATACTTTATTCTTGACCTCTAAGATGAATTTTTACCTAGTGTTTTTTTGGCACATGGCTTTTTAATAAGTTGAGGATGGACCCCATAAATTTCCCCCTCCAGACCAATTCACCTAAGCCTAATGAAGGTAACATCGAATATCTAGATGCACCTAGAGGCTAATCTGCACAAGCCCTTCGAATCCTTGTTGCACCCATGTCAATTCGACATAGTTTGGGTGTTGGTTTGGCATCGCATTGGATTTGGTCAACTTACCTCGGGTGCTTTGACTACATCTATGACCAAAAAGTTTGAGAATATTTTGATTTACACGAGATATCTTATGATCAAAATATTAGGTATTTATAGAAGAATTAAATCATATTTTTTAGTTCAATAAATTTAATTCATTAAATGCATACTTATTTATGTTTTAATACAACATTTATGGACGTATCTGAGCGCATGTATCCGCACTCGGGTCCGTACCACCAAATCCTAAAATTTTAGTGGAGGAGTCTGACCTCTAGATCTACATGGGATCAAAAACCTACACCAAAGTCCATCCAAGCAACATAGCCAACAGGGTCTTTGCACAACTTAAACTTGTCTCTTGGTACTATGGTCAACATATTTAAAGGATTCTCACCAATGAAAATCTTCACGATTTGTAAGAATTCGTTCTCTAGTCTCTACTTTTTTTTCAATCCAATGATATCTCACATCAATATGTTTAGTCCTTACACGCTATATTGAGTTCTTGCTCATGTCTATTGCACTTTGACTGTCTAATAGACCACATACTCATTCTTACACAAGCCAAATTTCTTGAAGAAACTGTTTGAGCCACATCATTTCCTTGCCAGCTTTAGTACTTAGTAGTAACAATATAATCCACTTCAATTGTAGAGAGTGACACATTTCTGCAATTTTATGTGCCATGATATTGCTCCCCACGAAATAGTAAAAAAATCCAATGGTAGTTCTGATTGCACTAGCTGTTTTTTTAATCCATGTCATCCAATCCTCAGGTTTTATGGGTTCGGACATTGTCGTATTGCCTACTATTGCCTTGTGTAATCTCTAATAGAAAATGTTCTCTCTATTGAATTATGCTTCCTTGTGCATTACTCAAAACATTTTTCACGGAGTATTGTACAATTGATTGTGAACAATATTTTTCTTAGAATGAGCTGAACATAGGCTCTAATACCAGTTCTGGAGAAAATAGCCCATAGAAGTAATATTCACGACAAATAATAGGAAAAATGGAGCACCGAGACAGGGTAATCAACCAGAATAATTTTAAAAAAAAGACCAAGACCATCAAAATTTTAACATGGAATGCTCTATTAGAGTGGAAAAATAATATGACTATAGAAACGGAATTTTCACTCGATAGTCCTGATTACTCGGGAAACCACTACACAATTAAGAGAAACAATCATCTTTTGATTACATAGCTCACTATAATACAGCTTGCACTCTATTTATCTTAAAGATTGTATTTCTTATGTCTGAATTGCTCTATGCTCTTGCTTCTATATTCTACTTTATGTGTTGAGATGAGAGAATGGACTCTCTATTTATAACGATATGAGTTGCCAGTTTCTATCACAAAATTAGAGAAAAGGACAAATTGCCCAAAGTTCTCCTCCACACTCTTCATTCTTGATCTCCAAGAATGAATTTCTACCAAACATTCTTTTGGCACATGGCTTTTCAACAATTGAGATGGACCAAACAAGCCTAATCTCCATATTTATGACTTCCTTATCCTCCCTTTCATAAATTATAAGGCCCTTCAGTTAGCACAAAGTTGGAAAAGGACAACCAGAATGATCTTTCATACAGATTAGCTAAAAATCAAATGAAGAGATCAGAAAATTGGGATGCACTAAAGACGAGACAGTAAAGTAACTGGGAACAATGAGTGAACATACACATGAAATAAAAGATATCCAGATGACAACTCCACTTACAGTCATAGTCTCATAGATGTTATCCAAAATCATATCACAAAACGCCACCATCTATGACATAATATTCAAGATAAACACATCTCTCAGATTTTCAGCAATATTCACAAGCTACTCCAAAGAGACTTTTAAACCTCCTTCCCATTCCCCTCACCCCACACCTTTCAAATCATGTATCAAATGCCCTCTTAACTTTGGACGTTCAAGGTTTGATCACTCAAAAGTTTTCCAAAAGGTGAATTGAAGGAGGAAGGGAGATGAGCTATTTCCTTATGTTTTCTTAGGAGGACAAGGAATATGGAGTAAAACTGGAAGAGTATGCTTCCATTCAATTTAAGTTTTTTCAACAACAACAACATACCCAGACACGCCCACAAATGGGATCTGGGGAGAGTAAGCAGCACACAGACCTTACCTCTACCTTTGTGGGGTAGAGAGGCAGTTTCCAATAGACCTTCGGCTTAAGAGGGTAGTAAAAGAAAAAATGACAACAAACTATCAAGATACAAAGCAAAATGAAGCAACAAATAGTAGAAATGATTTTGAGTCTTTTCAAGCCTCCCAAAATTGGAAGGGCTGGAGGAAGTATATCTTGTATTTCCTTTTTAATCTATTCAAGACAACCAGAGTTGACGATTAATACTTCCTGAAGTGGAAACAGATTAGCAAGTTCACCTCCAACCCCCTTCTCCCCTTCCTCTCCCCCTTTCCGAAAGCATACAGAATGTAAATGCCAATCTTTCGGGTAGCCACTATTTGCTAGTAAAAATACACTTAAAACTGTTTTGCAAGATAACAACCCATTCCAAACCAGCACTGAGCAATAGCTCCCAATAAAACTAAGCTTACTGAAAGCAATAGGAGAAGAAAAGATGATTCCGGAAAAATGAAACATGAAAGGTATCCAGCATACCATGCTAATGACAATATCCATTTTGGTAATCTTATATTCCAAGATAGATTACTCCTATGCTAATTATTACATTACTCCAAGGTGAGGTGCATAGAGCACACCTATAATATTCTACCAACTATTAATTGCGTTTGAAGTCCCACAGCTGATAGTGCTCATTAGAAGTTTGAAATAGTCCTTTAGTTCTTGAAAATGATAAACGTTGGTTATATCCTCAACCTAATCTGATTTATCTTAATCATTTCAATTTTATTTCTTTTCAAAATTTTCAGAAATTATGTCTTGAAAGCATCAGTATTAACACAAATCACATACCCAAATATTTAAATTGACAGATTACAAATAATCATGATAGAATTAGCCTTTTGCAAAAGGAAGTTCACTTCATCAGCTACTCTTCAAACCATAATTTGGAAGATCAAACACCAAACACTCGATAAAGTAATAACAAGAAACTTATGTTTCTTTGTCTTTTTCCTTTCTTTTTTGATAACCATGGTGTCCTGATCAGATTGTGCACACCTCAACTAATTCCACAAGATACTTGCCACTTCACACTGGCAACAAATACCATGTAACTCTGTCCACTATGACAGATGGCAAGAAATTTCTTATTCACTTTCCTAGACATCTGATTCTCCCCCCCCCCCACACACCCCTTCTCCTCCATCTAAAGAACATAAAAGTTTTTAACTTTCTCCTCCCTCCCTCTTGCAGGAGCAAAACCCCTTCCTCCAATTCCATTTTTCCCCCTTTTTGGTGTCCTTTTCAGTGGCTTAAATATACAAATAGCAGCTAAATGTTTCCAAATAGGCAAATGAATCACAATTTTCATAAAAAAGTCAATGACTGTAAATAATGTGTTCAACAAACCACTAAAAAGCCCCATCACACACATATAATCACTTTCTAACAGCCTAAAAATTCACCAAAATTATATACAAAAAAGCACAAACTTTCACTAAACCAACAACAATCAAGAAACAGAAAACTGATGTGTAAGAATCTGAATACATACCCCATGCAAGCTAGAAAATGATTGATCCAAGCACTGAAAGAACTAGACAGCATCATATATCTAAACATACAATAATTATTATCCAATTCCTCTTCAAAGCTCCAAAATGAACCAGATCAAAAAAACCCAAGCATAAAAATCCAATCTTTTTTTCTGTCCAAAAGAAAAGAAACAAGAACCCTTTTCAGTTTTCAAGAATCAGAATAAGAAATAGAAGAAAATAAAAAAGACAACTTTTTTACCTGACCTCAGAGCAACCATATAGATACAAAATACAACACACTTGTTAACAGTGTACAATAAATATATAAATAAATATTAAATGGAATTGAAACTGAATTCCAAAAGGGTGTTTCTAATACCTGGAGTCTCTCTCTCTCCTCACTTTCTCTCTCTCCTCACTTTCTCTCTCTTCTTTATCCGTGGGTTTGGTTTCGTTTCAATAGTGGACTAGCAAGTGAAGTGGGTAACATTTAGGTGTTTTTGAGATTAAATAATCATCAATCATGTAACATGTGTGCTTTGTGGGTAACATCTAGGAAGGTTCGGAGTACACGAATTAGATTCGTAACATTAGCGTTCTTTTATTTTGATATTTATTACATTGTCTATTATATTACATTTATTGTATTATTTAGTAGGGGTGGGGGTGGGGGTGAGGGTGGGGTGAAAATAGAAATTTGATATTGAAAATAATTCTTAAAAACAATTTTTTTTTTTTTTTTTTGGGGGGATGGTGGTGGTAGGGAGCTGGCAAGGGGTGGGGGTAGGAGCTGAGAGTGGGGTAAAAAAATTAAAAAAATGAATGATAGAAAATATTTTTTAAAGAATAAGCTTTAAATTTATTTTTTCAACAAAAAAATTGTAATTTGAAGTTGGAGGAGAGTTTTGGAAAATGTTTTCCTTAATTTTTGAAGGGAAGTCATTTTCCTTAAATTTGAGGAAAATAATTTGATTTGGATAACATTTTCCAAAATATTTTACCCAACCAAACATGAGAAAATTGGAAAAACATTTTCCATAGAAAATATTTTCCTCCATACCGAACACACCCTAAGAGTTGTAGTGTTTTCCTTATTAATTTGTATGTTTTCTTTATTATTGTATTTTTAAAAAAGATAATTTAATTTACTGTACCTAATCGAATTGAGGGAAAATCTACACATACTCTATACTGATAAATTCACTTATAAACTATACTTAATTATATTGTTGTTGCCGTTGTCATCGTGTGTGCTTAGTTGTTACCAACTAATACAATTTATAGAATCAAAACTGAAGAATTTGATGGGTCACAAGAATGTAATGCTTAACTGAATTTGGTGTTAATTAATTTTTGTGGATAGTATTAATTTGTTTATTTCTTGTATACTTATGAGCTATAGAATAAATAAATGAATTAGTAAATGGTGCTCCTTTCTAATATCTTTAACTTTTAAAAAATATATTTCATATAATTTTATATGAATACTATAGTAAATGCATTTTTATTTCTAAAAAAATAAAAAATTGTGAGTATAATTTTTGGGTGAAGTTTTTTCTATTTTATTTTTTATTTTTTATTTTAAAGGAGGAAAAGAATTAACACTTTTTATTGAAGTAATTTCAAAATTGATATTGACCTTTTCGGTCAATAGAGATAATTGAGGCTAATAATATTGAACAGTGATTTGTGTCCATTTGTTTCCATAAATTTTGGACTTACAAAATTTAAAATAAATAAATGATTTGTTGGATGTGTTCTTTCTAATATCTTTAAGTTTAAAAAAATTGTATATTTCATATAATTTTTAAGGGAAAAGGATAAAAAATATTCCACAATTTTAGTTTATTAGTTGACTATACCCATGGTCAACTCAACAACATTGGGGGCCTAAAACGAAACTTAAGAGAGCGGCCCTAATTTTTTTTCATCATATATACTTTTATTTAAAATCTACATTTCTAGCTATTTTAGATGCGAAGTCATTATGTACTGTTTTATAATCAATTTGTTTTAATAATTCCTTTTCAAATGATAATATAGTTAATTCATTCAATCTCTCTTGAGACATTGTTGATCTTAAAGAAGATTTAATCAATTTTAATTTCGAAAAAACTTTTTTCGGCTGAAGCAACGGTTACAGGAACTGTTAACATTCTATAAGCAATATGTGTATTTGGAAAAGAATCAAGTCTTTTAATTTGATCGAGTATTTTCATTAGATCATTATTTTCTACTTGTATTATTTCTCTTAACACTTTTGATTCAAAAAATAAATCTAAACCATCAATATCAGAATAACTATTACGTGTTAAAGAAAGTTCAAGGTTAAGACAATATTTTTTTATCTCATCATCTAGTGATCTCAATATTTTACCACTAAATAAGAAATAAAAAATATTTCCATATGCTTCAATTGGTTCAAATCTATTTTGAAGTGAAGAAATAGTTTGATCTACTCTACATATATAAAGAAATCAACTCTAAAAGATTCTTCAGTGGACTTTGTGATTTCGCTATCCATATTTTCATCAAATTGTTTCTTACGAAATTCAGATTTATTTTCATCTCATATGCAATTTCCTTAGTAGAAATCATAACACTCACAGTACATATAATTATTTTTTTTTAAAAATAACATATATAAGTAATTGTTTTTTAAAAAATGGGCCCCCCCAAAATATATGGGCCCCAAGCGATGGCTTTAGTGCATAGGGGTTAAGACGGCCCTGACTATACCCCTACCGTTAAAACGAAGTTATTTTTAATCCTATCGTTACTAGTTTCATCATTTGCATGTCACGCCTTGACCCTACACCCTGGAGGGACTGACACTCGAGAACCATTGTTGGCCCCAAGCGAACCCTTGGCCTAACTAGACTCTCAGTGGAAGACTTTAGCATTATTACAGAAAACAAATGCATTTTAAAAATAACTATCTCAAATTAAACTTAGAATGTTTAAGGATAAACATTCAATTTAGCCAAAGTGGCAACTCAAGTCTTATAGTAAAACAACTGAAGTGCAAGACTAAAGAACTAATAACTAACCGTCTATGAAGCCTCTAAACAATGAGGGATGTCGGGACAAGACCCCGATCATCCTAACAACTAAAAATACTGAAATAAAGTAAAAAAGGGGATCCTCCGGAAAGCAAGGAGGCTCACCAACTGACTCTGAGTGCTCAACTGGATCAACGAAGCGATGAATGTTGATCCTGGTTACCTGTATCTGCATCATAAAATGATGCAGGCCAAATGACATCAGTACATTGAATGTACGAGCATGCGATGGGAAAACTAAACATGACATAAGCTTGAACTGAATTCTAAAAGAAACACTTCCCTCAGCTTTACTCAACTCAATGCACAAATAAACAACAATAAAGTTACAGTTTATATAAAACATTTAAACAGTAGGTAACAACTCAATATACATGTATAACAAAGTAATATAATTATGTGGGAGTTTCTCTAACCGACAACCATCAGTATGAGATATGTGATGATACATCGTCTCACTCACGCTGCCAGAATTGTCCTATAACTTGTCGGGATATAAAACGTCTCAACTAAGTGGATTCACTAGTCTATGCTAAAAAGCATTAAGGAATCATCTAAAAAGTATGACCCTTTCTACCCACGTTGGCTACATGGTTATGGAGACATTGATTTATTATGAACTCGTCCCCACATCGGTGCTCAATACTACTCACAAAATACTCAGCTCATATGTTTAAAAATAAAACTATTTCTGTAGTTTGAGATAATTACTCAAAAACTAGCTCAAAAGCTCTCTTGAAAATTGGTGTTTCCTCTCTTGTTTAAAATGTGAAAACATTTACCAATTTGGGAATACTTAGTCCCCATATACTCTTTTTGAAGAATTGAACTTCATTTGTTACTCTTACTTAACTCAAAACTCAAGTCTTAAAACAAGTTTAAAACATTTGCAAAAGACTTTTTGAAAGGACTCTAAGAACTCTCTAGACTTGACTCTTAACTTCCCTTGAATTTGAATTTATGGATTCAAGGATTGTGATTTGTGATAGGAAAGATCTCATGATGTTTAGGAGTGCTTTTAGATAGTTAAACATGAGAAACGATTAAGAAATCACTGTCTGGAAGCAAGTCCGCCACGTGGAGATGCATTTAAATATTTGGTCGCGAAATAAATTTTGAGACCGAAGGGTCCGTGACCGCTCCACGACGCGGAATGAAAATTCCCCATCCTAAGGAACAGGTCTGCGCCATTCACCCTACTTTTTCCTTCTTCATTTTCTAACCCCAATTCGCCTAAACTCGATTCTTTTTCTCAAATTCTCTTTAGATTCAGATACCTAGTATATGTACACAAGAATCTACTCAAACAACTCAAGGAAACAACACTATAACCTCAAGAAACTCCTTAATCTCAACCCAAATTCAAGAATGAAAGCAATTCAAGAACACACATCAAGAACATTCAAACTTCCAATCTTTTTAGGACGACTTCATGCTGAATTAAACATGTTTGACACGTGAGTGAATGAACCAAACGTTATGAAAGTCTCACATACCTCGTAGGATCAAATCCTTGACGAAATAAGCAACAATTCCTCACAAAGACGACAAATCTTGACTTTCCTCTTCTCTTCTCTCTTGAGTTCTTCTCTCTAAAACCCTAGCGCGAATTTTCAATTGTGCAAACTGAACCAATTCAGTTTTGACCCTAATTAGTTCACTAAAAATGAATTAAATCAATTGGGTATGGAAAAGACCATAATACCCTTCTAAAATCTAGTTTTGACTTTTCTTATCTAGACAGCCCGAAATCCAATGAGCATATCTCCCTCATACGAACTCGAAAATGAGAAAACTCGGTGACGTTGGAAAGATAATTCAAAGATCTTTCCTACGGTATCTTGTAACTCACCTAACTCATCCTGAGCTAGGAGTTATGGTCATTTGAAGTTGACCCAAAACTCATACTTAACATAACTTAATCAATTTTCAGATTTTTACATTCTTTCCAAAAATGACTCTTTCTAATTCCAGCTCTTTCACTTAGCGACGTGTTACACCTCAATTGACGGAAATCCCCAGATTGACTCAAATTAACCCGAAATTTTAAAAACAACTCATTCCCCATTATAAACCCAATGCCCCGACTCCTCTAACTTATAACCCATTCTCTTAAAT